CATTTACATATGCACAGTTTTGCATCTGCTGATGAAACACACTTTCATCCCTCTTTTCCAGGCCAAAAGATTAATTCCTGAAGTCTGTTCTTACCTATTTCTTCCTGGCTGTCCTGTGTGTATTTTCTAATACATATTTATTTAGGAAGGTTAGTTTCTTGCCACACTGCAGAAATATTTGCGTTAAATCTACTCTATAAAGCCCCTAAAAGCATGAAAAAATGCTCTGGAAGCAGCAAAGAAATAGTTAGGAGGAAGGAAAGGAGGCGCTGCAGGAAAATCCATTTGCTGAAAAATGCAGCTTATGTCTTATCAATTTAATTCCAGATAAGTCTTCATTTTGCTGTGAAGACAGATGCGATAAATATGTTAATGGCAGATTTCGATAGTTCAGTTTGTAGCACTGCAAAGCCAGATGGAAATGATAATTTTTTCTTTTATTTTAATTTTGAAATAAAAAGCAAGAAAGCAAGAAAGTTCCTGATATCGTAACACTGTAATGACTTTTTGAAGGATAATGGACCTTAGCACAGAATGACAATTAACTACCATGCCCTGATACTTACTATTAAATTCCAGTCTCCCTGACTGGAATTCTCTCAGCTTTCTTACCAGAGCTGAGCAGATTACTGCCTGTGACTGGCTTTTCCAATTCCACATTCATAAAGGTATTTAGCAGCAATCCTAACTTGGAGCTGGTATTTTACTGATTCTACTGATGCTCAGGTTAGAGACATGCCTAAGCAGACCTCTGAAAATAGCATTGGATGGAGCTAACCTCTTTTGCTGTTTATCAGGAGCCAAATACTGCCTGTTTTAATTCCTTAAGCAACGTACTTAGTGCCCTCAGGGTATTAGGACTAAAGTGTGGCCTTCCATGCCTTGATTACCATTCCCCCAGAATCAGTGAATATCAGCGAGTATCAGTGAATGCACTTAGCAATGTTTGGCATGGGGTATTCTTTGATGGTTTCAATTTAAAACTAAGCCATTGAGGGTCATATAGGAACCTTCTTAAATCTGTAGGATATTTCCAGCTTTAACTGACAGACTAAAAAAGAACTGGAAAGTTTCTGCCACTTAAATCCCCTTGTAGGGTAGCATGTAAAAAGCCTGAGGAAATTTTACAAAAGAATTCTCAAGCCTCTTTTGTTCAGGGTCCCACCTGAAAGCTTATTCTGGGATTCTTAAGTGAAAACTTGGTTTGTTATATTCACTGTGGTGAGACTAACTGTGGAAAGAATAGGCACATCTGGCTTGTCTTTTTAAATTAACTATAATTTCAAGAAGGTGAGGTCGTGACTGGTTTCTCCCACAGGAACTTCTCTCCAGGAGCAACTTGGCAAGAGAGATAGATGCTCCATTCTCAGATCAGTAGCGTTAACTTCTAGGGGTTTATTAGGTCATTCTCACTTTCCAGCTAAGCTCACAAGTCAGAAATAGAATGGCTGAAACTATTTAATTCAACATGGCATTTAGAGCCCTGTGAAGACTTTATTCCATTTATTCCAGTGAGGAAAATGTGGATTTCTTGTGAATGACTGCTTGTATCTAACTTTTTACCATTAGACAAAGGGTACAATAATAGTTTTCTCATCACTGTCCTCAGCTGGGGATGCTTGTGGGTAGAGGTCATATTAATATAGATACCTGCTATCTGATAATGAGATAGTATCGTGGACAGATAGACATCTGATATGTGAAATACTGGATTAGCTTAATCATTCAATACATGCTATTTTGTTTCATTTGTTTAGTTTGCATATATTTTCTTGGGGTTTGTCTTTGTTTAGTAAATAATACAAAACTGCAAACATATGTGATCTGGCTGTTTCCAACTGAAACAAAGAGATCAGGTAAGAGGGAGAGAGAAAGTCTATACCGTACTGTGGAGGGGAGAGATCCCCAGGATCTGGAAGTGAAAGCTGTGTCAGCAGGAGCCAAGCCAACTTAATTAGCCCTGTGAAGAGACTGGGCAGAGTGCTTGGTTAATGGACCTATATGATGTTTGAGAATTCATCTGGTGTCTCTGGACTTTGCTGAACTGTGCAAACATCCATGTCTCTGCAGCACTGCAACTGGCACCCAAGCAGAGGCAGTTCTTGCACTCATCTGAGGTTCCAGTCCATGTTGGCTGTTAATCTCACACAATTAAGCGGCTAATATCGCAAACAGTACACAGTGAAACATACGGCACTACTCCTGGCCCTAGTGTTGCCTTACCAATGTCAGAGAACAGCAGGCAGAGACAGCTGGACCCTCTCTGCCCCCACAGCTTTGCTGTGAGCTAAGAGGTGATCAAAGCACTAGCTGTAGCTAGAGGTGATCCACTCTTACAGAGCATCCTCAGGTATTGGCATAAAGCAGACGGATCTTAGTCCTCTGTGGACTCATGTAGCAGCAGCATTTAATCCTGGAGCGCCAAGCAGAGTTTCCCAGCTGGTGGGCAAAGAAGCCATTCACCACCCTCCAGCAAGTAGCCAGAGCTCCCTAAGCACCAGGCAGGGAACTGCCACAGGAGGAGCATGGCAATTCACGCAGCACTATGGCTTAATTCAGCCTGCCATCTTGTCAGGCTTAAATTCAGCTCATTAGGACATTCATTTGTTATTTATGCAAATAAATCTATGCATAGTCACAAAATATGCAAAGAATGCCAGTTTATCAGTTTGGCACAATTTCCAACTTTCTGAACACCAGTCATCCTTGATACTTGTAAAAGAAAATGCAGTCTCCCCTATCACTACCACTGGCAGAGAAGCCAAGACAAAGCTTATGCACTACCAGCCATGTTCTCTCAGAGGATTCATGGTGTTAGCGATGGAAAAGATAATGCATTCTGTGTGACTTTAAACCTATTACATTACAGCTCAGGATGTTTGATCTTATGAATAAGGGATCTCTACCTGTTTCACCTTTTCAAGGAAGTAGATTCACAAATCTGCATAAATCTAAGCATTCCAACTGCAGTTTATATTTATTTATATTGAGCACATGACCAAAAAAAAAAGTCTTCTGGACCAATTTGCTTAATTGTGTTTCATTGTACAGCTGCAGTCTGAGGTTGTTTTCACTCATAAATGTACAAAAGAACCCGAGCTCACATCTCTCTTGCCCTTATTGCTCTCTCTTCACTTCAGGAAAATATTATCTTCTGCGTGAGTCTAGACTAGAGTCAGCAGCTACCTGTTGCTCTCCACACACCGCTATCAGTAACTGCAAGAGATCTGAGTCCTCCTGACAATGATACAGGTCTGCCAGAAACACAACTTTAGGGAATTCTTCTCCAGGTCTTTACACGAACACCAGGATGATGGCCTGCCTGTTAGCTCAAGGGATCAGTTTCTTGTCTATCCTCTCTAGCCTATCAGGATGACTTATTTAAGCTGCTACAAGGTTCACTGTACAAATCAGCAGAAAAGAAGTTTCTGTAATGCAAGTAAAGACAGAAGAAAACAACGCAGCTTTTTACTGTATTACCCTCTCTGAGGGACCCACCTTACCCATTCATGTCTCCTACAGTCTGTTGTAACCATCTCCCAGAAAACGTGGAGATGTGTACTTGCATGTGGTCTTGGAGTTGGCACTGAGGGGAGAAACACCTCCAGTAGGCAAGGAAAAGTACTTAAAAAAGGCTGCCCCTCCAGGGTCACTACAACTGAACCATAATTTGATAACAATACAAAAACTAACCTTCCCCAAGCCCCCCAAAATAGAACTCCATGAGTTACATTGCATTTAAAGCACAACACAATCACAATGCAGAGGCCTGAAAGTATTTCCAGTATTTTTAATTCTTCCCCTGTAGGGAATTTGTATTTGCACACAAGAACAACTGCATAAATTAAATACCTCCTGGACAGTCTCTCTCATTAAAGTCCATCAAGGTGCCTTCCTTTGATTCTTTCAATTTATGAAATAAAACTGTGGTAGGTTGACCACAGCCAGCAGCTAAGCACTCACATTAGGATTATGATCTCATCAGGAGAGAGAATAATAAGAGCAAAACCAATAAAACTTGTGGGCTGAGATAAAGACAGGAAAGGGGAAAAAACTCAACAGTGGTACAAAGGCATCCAGTGACCACCTCCTACAGGCAGACTGATATCCAACCAGTCTGAGCTTTGGTAATCTTCCCAGACCAACCACTCCCTCAGTTTTTATTGCTGAGCATAACAACAAATGGAATATCCTTTTGGTCATTTGGGGTCAGCTGTGCCATCTGTTTGCCCTCCCAGCCTCTTGCCCACCCATAGCCTGCTTTCTGGGGATGGGCAGCCTGGGAAAAAGGGAAGGCCTTGACACTGTGGGTGCACTGATTTGCAATAGCCAAAACACTGGTGTTATCAATGCTGTTTAGTCACAAACCCAAAACACAATATCTTACAGGCTGCTGTGAAGAAAATTAACTCCATCTCAGCCAGACCCAACATAAAAAGTAATGAACAAATGATTGCCTTGGGTTAGCCATGAAGAAAATTGTCCCAGAAAGGGCACTTATCTCTTAACTTCAAGTGCTGTTCTAAACATCTGCCCTTTTTATTCCAAATCTATTTGCCACTTGGGTAAGCTCAAAACCATGCAGTCAAAAATATCTGTACAACCTGATTTCCTGTGAATTTAATTCTGCTGGTTCCAGCTAAGAAAAATTACCTTTATATCATTAAAACATATGCTTTTCCTTAATAAAAAATTAAATACAACCACTTCAGCTCTCTTCCTTCACTTTTGCATTGGTGCAGTAAAGGATTATCCATATAAAATTATCTGGCCAAGCTTTCTGCTGTGAGCTGGTATGGTTCTGCTGCTTTTCACAGAACAGTTAACACATACTGATGATTTTAGCCATTGTCTGCCTATAATGGCCAATTTGCCTACTACAGGAACTGAGAGCCATCTGTATACAAGCTATTACTATACACCAGTGAAACGGAGACTGTAAACCAACAGAACATGACCTGTGATTTTAAGAGATTCAAAGACAAGGTGTGATAACTTACCTTTGGAGCTTGTAGGACATCAGTCACACCTTGCTTAGGTACTGCAAAACCAGGCTTTGGTGAAAACGTTGGCTTTTTAGGAGGCCTTGGTGGTGAACGAAGGGTTTGGTTTTCATATCTTCGCACCATATAGTATTGCTCTTCACTGATCTCTTCCACTTTTGTCTTAGTCACAGGAGGCACAACTGTGTGGACATCTTTGCTGAGCAAATGGACGGACATGTTTAAACGACCTACAGGAATCTCCCAGCTCTCTACTGGATTGCTGGCACTACTGATCAGCAAATAAGAGTCTGTGATTTCTTCTTCAAACTGCAGACCAGGCATGGCAGCCACGACATCTTCCTCAATGGAAAGGTCTCTCACAGACACTTTGACGTTAAAAGGCAATCGAAATTCTTTGCAAATCTCAGGAAGCTGGTACTGTTTCTTGTCATGAATCACTTCTACAAATCTACCTTCCATATACATAGGGAGGAGAACTTTCTTATATGTATCACCTAGTATTTGTTCACAAGCTAAAACATCTATAAGTTTCTTTCTTCCCTCATACAGAACTTCACTAGTCTGGCATTGCTGAACTAGAAACTGATCTCCAACTGAAACAGAGAAAAGCTCTTTATGAGGGGAATCAAAGGCTTTAGTTGCTACGACATGAAGTTGTTCCTTTTCACTTCTTGCTATCTCTAAGTCATAGGCAGTAGGAAACTCCCGAGGTCTTCTTTTGAACCTTCCTTTATAGCTCATAGGGATTAAAAAATATCTTTTGGGGGAATCACTTCTGATCTCTGAGGCTAGAACTCTTGTTGTCTGGTACTTTTTGTAGATAATGATCTCATTCCCTGTATCCAGAAATTTAAAAGGTTTTTGATTTTCTGAAGGCCCTTCCATTATCTCAGCAACCATAGGAAATTCCTTGCTTGTTCTCTCAAATACATCTTCCAAAGACAGTGGCTGAAGGAAAGAGCTAATATCATAACAGTCTGTTATATCCTTGACCTCGACATCTAGATCTGAGAGGATATGAACTATGTCCTTTCGAACTGAAAAGAAAAAGATATTGATTTTTATTTTCAAACTGACATTAGAATAAAATACACGTCCTATTGGCCAGATACTAGAAGTACCTTCCCTGAGGTATGCACCTCCATATGTAAACATGTACAATTAACAAGGCTAGTCAAAGTCTGGTTTAATTTGAGATATATGGCTGTTAGATATTCAGGAGACCTCATGAAGGAAGACAGAAACAAGAGGAGATGACAATAGGGTGTGCAAGTGAATAAAAGTTGAAGAAAAAGGAAAGGGGAAAAAAAATTAGCTCACTATCTTTCTCACAGCACCTCCAAGTTTAATCAGCTGTGCATCTTATCAAACTATTTTCCTTGAGTACAAGATGTATTTCTATTATTTCATAGCAACTTATGGTTCCTCCATATGGGTCAGGGGAACATTTGTAATAAATAAATAGCATTTGAACCCATTAACACATATTGTTGCTGTGGTCAGTCTAGGAAAAATATGATATTTTGATATTTACAAGAATAACAAAAATATCTACAATTACTAGAAAATAATACAACTTCTTTAAAAAAAAGCAAAATTTTATATAATGAAGTCTAAGTTTAGTGTTAGTGAATAAATTTCCACTATGCTCTTCTGTGGTTCTCTTGCATTTTTTACTGCAGCATCTAGTTTTATTTACTATCAGAATCAAGCCATTGTATTTAACAGTCTGACCGAGAACAACTTTTTATCATCACTGAACTTGCAAAATTTTGGATGTAAAACTTCCAAGTACAAAGCTGACTATGCAGTTAAGGTTTGTTTAAGAATTTGGCTCCAGATCAGTGACACTACAGAGTGCTGACCAGGGCACTAAAATTTAATAAGCAAATAATAGTTAACGACTCTTTTCAGTAAGACTTATTCTGCATAGTCCTGCACAGAAGGATAGTATATCCTGGAGTCACACTTTCTTGTAGCAGGACATACTGATATTTTATCCTTAAAAGTTGGTATCAGATCTATTTCATATTACAGAGTTTTATGACATTGATTCAGGATCTGTTTATTCCAACAGTACTTTTGCCACACTGACATCTTCAGGTGACAAACATTCTAAGCACCGCAAAGGAAAGCCAATGAAGGAGGAATGACTGGTGAAAATTAAAGCTTTCTATGAGTATCTGGGGGATTTCCACATGCATAATTTGCTCATTATAAAAAATAAGAAGTGTAAAGGATATCTGCTCACAGACTGTGAAAGTGTAATCTGCTATCCATCCCTCTTATCAGGAATCTTTTTTATTGAACTGTGGATAGTATTCTTCATACTTTATCTTGTGCCTATTTATAGTTCTTCTAAAAATAGAAAATCCATTTTTCATGGTCCACAAGAAATCATGTACCATGAAGCCTACTTTTCAAGTTTGTATTAAATAATTATTTAGGACATATTTAATGCTTTTTAAATGTTGAACACACTATGAAACATAAAATAAAATCAACAAATACAGTGCTCACTGGAATCTGTTTGAAAGACAACTGAATCTTCAGAAAGCTTTTTGGGAACACAAAATTCTCATTGATTCTACACTTATGTTTAAGCTGGTATTGGAATACACCTAAGTGAATCTAGCTTCAGGAAATGGGCTAGATTCCTGAATCTAGCCAGAGTTGCAGAAAATGAAGTAGTTTATCTCATGAAGATACACTTCCCAGATTCACACATTAAATCACATAGAAAGTAAACCTGAATGTCTCGTGATAAGCATTTAACAACTATAGTATATTGTGCTTACAGTCTCTGTCCACTTGTATTCCTCTTCTATTGATTTACTTCATTCATCAGAGAAAGCTCAACTGTGAAAAGATTTCCTGCTTAATATCCTCATGAATGACATATTTCTGTTAGGATTTAATTTGTATGGTGCACACTGGTTTGTTTCTAGTAAATGCAACTGGCAGTCAAACCTTTGCAAAGGGTAAGCTCTTATCCTGCAAACTTTAAAAGGGTGGGTGCATGAAGAAGTAGAATTGCAGTAGCCCAGGCAGTAGTTGGAAACCAGACTTTTTATCCTAAGTTTTTCGTTTGTTTGGTTAGGTATCTCAGTTCAGAGAGGGTACACTATGCATGCACACATTGGTCATTACTGCAGCTTGGCCATTCTAGTAATCATAGCTCAGGAGCATTTTGCTTTATGCTTATAACCTTGCACACCTTTTAATTTTATTCCCATGACAAATTTTGCTAGCAGGTTTAAAGACATTGATAAGAACACAAGCCAGCAGTTGCTGTGTTTTGGTGGAACAGGTAGAAAAGTGTTAATGTGTCACAGACAAAATACTTTTTTTCCCCTAACAAAAATTCATAACATAAAGGATCGCTTTTAAAGGTATTGTTTTTCTGTTATCTTCCTGTTTCCTCAAACCTAGGTCTTTCTAAAATTGTCTGAGTCTTTTCTGTTTATATTCTATTGATATTTGCTTCTGCAATAGAGTAAAATAATACGGTTTTGCATTTTGCAGTAGCCTCATCCTGAAAAATAAATAGTAATTGAGTTTGTTACATGTGGGTCTATATTCTTTTCCTGCCTCCTAGCCATAGCCATAAATGGTCAAGTGGCTGCTCCATGGCCAAAGTCTGAGCCACAAAGAAAAAGAATTTGAGAACTCAATAGAATTCCCAAGCGCCACCTTTTCATTATGCAACATATTTGATTTGCAGTGATGATTTAATTATAGTGATTGATAAAATGGCAACAGAAAGAAATGCAAGGTAACTTTCTAAATTAACAGCTGATAAAGGAATAAGAGGCAATATTATTTTTATATTTCTTTGTCTTGAAACTAGCATCAGTGGCAAATATGGATCACTAATTCTTGACCAAACTGAATCCTTCCTATTTTAAGCAAATTTTGTGTCCTTTGCTATACCGAGTTTATCAAAACATTGACTTTGATTCCTACTTACATTTCATTACTGCCTGCACTTCATAGACAGGCGTAAGAACCAAGCAGCCATCAAAATTCTCAGGAAGTGGATTAGAGAAGTCCCACATATGTATAGTACTGGAAAGTTTGACAATCCTGTTTCTGCACTTAGGGATTTTCCATTCTGCAATCTCTTTTAAGGTGTATATCTGGTCATCTTCACACTCATAGAATTTTCCTTCTTGTGAAAGGGGCAAAGTAAAGGAATAAGACTGGTTGTTTCTGACCACAACACAGTTCACAGCCATTGTTCCACTGGTCTCTTCCACTGAGTTGAAGGTGATGTGCTCACCATGTTTGATAGTGAGGTTTGCCAATTTTATGTCCTCGGGGCTGTAGAAACATGGATGGCCAAATCTTGTTGGCCCGATAGAGACTTTTCTTGTAATTTCTTCAATGCTGTCATATGGTGTTTTATCTGCCATAACTTTATAAAGACCTAAGAACAGAAAAACTTGCATTACAAAAGGGGAAATATACAAAGCAAGCCTTGCCAAATTTTAGACAATGAATGCAATAAAAATAGGGAGCAAAGCACATCAAACGATTCATAGCTGGTTTAGTTGTTAGAACTGTGACTCTAAAGAGATAATATCAACTATATGATATTATGTCTAGGCAGCTGGAACTAGCCCTTTTTGCTCTGCATCTGACATCCAACATTTTTACATCTATCGTAAAAAGTTTTCTTTGCCACACACAGTAAGAAGAAAAATTATCTTAAATTCTCATTTGTCTTCCTAGGAAACAAACCTGTAAGAAATAAATGCAGACATGATATGAGGAAGAGCAGCACTAATGTGAAATGCAAGATAGGTTTTCTGCCTAAACATCAGTACTACATATTCTTCCACACACAGACTGGGGAGTCCATGACCAAATATGTTTAAAGATATATCACAAATTAAAAAGTAGCACCCATGGATAAGAATAAGCAAAGAAAATTGATTTTAGCATATATGATAGCCCAGACCACCAGATGGAATAATTCAAAGTTTGAGTGTTGTAATATTCTGGCCATCACAAAGCAATCAAAATGCTGAAGTTCTGCAAGACAGAAGCTGCATCTGAGCCTTCCTACCCCCTAGGGACACTATTATTTCATGTCAATCATGCCCCTTGAAGCTGTCTCATTGGGAGTTCACATCACAACAAAAATGCGTACATTTCTGTATTGCATGAGTGTTTTCATAGAGGCAGATGAAGTGGATGGTTTACAGGACTTAACAGTAGGGTTTAGCTGAACTGCATGATTCAGCTGTCTTCTTCCCAAGGCACAGCAGTGTGAATGCTGCCTCATGGAATTACATTGCAGCTTCCTGGGACAGGAATTGACTTAGGCTTGCTTCCAAGACATATATAGAGGTTATTCCTAAACCAAGCTTGCTAGCCACAAATTAACCACTAGCTACAGCTACAGTGACGAAGCTACAGTGCCTTTCCTCCCTCATTTGCCCAAGCCCAACCAGCGGAAACTGCACAGGTACAAAGTACAACTTCAACACACTTTTCTTTCTCACTGGTATTTTTAATGTTGCTCACAGTCATTTTTAATGCAATTATTAACAAGTAAGTTAGCTACCCCAGTCCTAATCACCACCGGAGCTGCCAGTGCAGATCAAGACAAACTGGTTCATCAGCCTTTAGAATATATTGCAGTGACAAGGCACTAATGATAAACTGAAATAGTGGGAAAGACAACATCCCCCAAACAGTGTTCCAGTGTCATGCTTTGCAAACACAAGATGAGCTTCATCTCCTTGCAGTGCTGGGAGAAAGCAAATAGGAATACTCTTCATTAAAAAATTTATTCAAAGTACATACAATGTATCCCAAAGGCAATAACTATGTTTATCCATCTGTGATACAGGAGCATGCATATTGCCCCAAGAAAACCTCCAGAATTGCATTAAAAAGCCTCCATAAGCTATGTTAGAAAAATATTCCCCATTGAAAATATTTGGCAAAGTACAGGTATGAGAAATAGCATTCTTCTGAGTCTGACAGTAGACTCAGGCTCTACTAATTCTGCCGGGGCTATAGGAAAGCCACCTATTTCAGCAACAAACCAATGAGCATCCTGGGTTAGAAAATAGGTTTCATATAGAAACACAATTACCAAACCTCATACAAAACTAGACAACTGATTATCCCCTTGGGCCAAGGCAGACTGGCTTTGCAAGGGTTGGGAGCAGGAAAATCATCACCTTCCATTTTGCTGGTTTTCTTAATTTGGGTAGAAGAATGCTTGCATAGGCAACTAAAGAGCCATGTGGCCTAGTATACTTAGCATCTGCATTGATGAGACCCCTGAAGTAGAGGCACCTAATAGCCACCTGTTTATGCTTATGAGTATGTAAAATTCCATATGTTTCTCTCTCTATAGAAAAGAGGTGAATATATAAAAATTCATTTTGGTATGATGGCTGAAAGTCACTTGGTTACTATCTAACTGCCATAATCTGTGATGGTATCTTCTCATAAATGCTCTCCTTGATAAATATATATATATATATCAGAGCAAACAAACAAACAAACAAACAAAAACCAATGAAAACCCAAACCCAAACAAATACACACACACACAAAAAAAACCCAAAAAACCACATAAAACTCTAACCAACCAACCAAAAAACTCCCACTCTCCCCAAAGAAAAAATATGAACAAAAAACAAAACACAAATCCCACACAAACCCACAAAAAACAAACAACATTACACTATAGGGAACCATTTAGAACCTTATTAAAATCATTATGAATTAAATTAAAAAACGGAATATTTTCCAAACTTAAGATAGCAAAGAAATCTCCAGAGTAGGAGACATGGTAAGTCTGAGATGCCAAAGTTTAGGCATTTTGAGGTCAAACAAAAATATTTGTGCATTTTTTCATAAATCATAAAATTACTTAAATTCACAGGCTTTCCTATGAGAGCTTGGTGGACTAGTGGAGGGAAAGACAGATGGAAATAGCCAACCTGCAAAAAGTCCAGCTAGTTTATTAAGAGCTGGCAATACTGCACCTATATATCTACTTTCTAAATGTAGTCATCTGGTCTATAACCAAAATGAACTGATGCCTAATAGTTCTGGAAAAAATTACAGCTAGAGACAAGAATAACTGCACATACATAGTAACTACATGAATGTATAACCTTTGTCACACTCTATGAACCCTCTGCACCAAGGCATTTCACTAGGTAAAGTGCGGGCCTAGCCATAATATGAAAATCAGTAAGCACCAAACCTAATCAGCCCAGCACTTTCAGGTGAGTTTTAGGCACTGATGCACACATTGGTAGAGACAGAGGGTTTGGGAATTTGAACAAAAATTTCTTCACTGGTATGGGAGAGGAAACAGACCAAGAATCACCCATTTAGTCCAGTGGGAAAGCACGTTTTGAAAGAAAGATATTTCTAGCACCTTTTTACAGAGCAGTATATGCAGGTCTCTTTTACCAGTTATTGAGTGATACAGTGTATCTCCCTGTATCTTTATAGAGATTCATGTTCAGTCTTAATTATAATGAGTCCTGAAGAAAAGGAATATGCTTTTTATCATCTTTTTTACTTCTTTTCCCTACAGAAAACTGAGAAAGCCAGTAGTTAGGCTCACCTAGTAGAGAACCAAGTAGCCTTCAAGGATCAAAAATAGAAGAAAGACCTTCTGCTCCAGACCAGTAATGGCTGCTCCCCAAGGTACTGTAGAAGACTGGGAAGAGCTCAGTTTCCAACTTCTCTGGAGGTGATTTGATTGCTATTCCTCTTTCCACTCACTCTGCTACCTCCCCTGCTCCAGCATGCTCCTTTCCTTCTCCTGCCCCAAAGGCCATCTCTCCTATGTCTCCATCACCTCCTATTGAGATCAGCCTTCTAATGCCTAACCCCTCGTCTTCCACATATGTACTGTATGGCCACAGACAAGCCCCTGTCCCTTGGCTTGCAGAGGCTGGAAGCTAAAAGGCACAGCCATGCTCAGCTATGAGCCTGTCAGACCACGAAGGAATAAGCAATAATGCTACCAGGGACCCCCTGAGAGCACAGACAGCCTAGCAATATTTTTGGAGGAGAAGGAATGTAACAGAACAGAATGAAATAATTTGTGCCGGCACACAGTTTGGGTGTTGTGCAAATTACCTGTCTCTGCTAACTTGTTAGTAGTGAAAATCGTAGTTCAAAATGCTGTTAGATGTAGTCATTGAAGTGTCTATAATAACAGCAGAGTTCCTTTTTTATCCAGTGCATGTGCATAGAAAGAATAGCCTGGCCCTCTGAGGCATGAAAAAGAACAAATTAGAATAAGGATAAAATGAAGTAACACAGATAGTGAACTTGCAGTTGTAGTGGTTTCTCTAATGCAAAAGACAGATTAGGCCTCTATCAAGGATCTGATTTGCCAGAGCAGAAAAAAAGAATTCTGTAGACTGTAAATGCATTCAAAAAGACAAAGAGTAAGGATCGTTTAAAGCAAATGAGCCCAGTCTTCACTCACAGAGACACTATCCCCAGAGTAACAGAAATAGAAGGGTTACTTATTTATGCTAGCATGCACATGGTGAAAGGATACACGAGCCTGCCACATACAAATGATAACTCACAATAGGGGAAATGGAAAATAACATCAAAGCAAAAGATTTCTTTGCATCAACACTGACAAGAGAGCACTGTACATACAATGGAAATATAGTGTCAGCCTCTTAGACATCTGTGGATATTTTTCTTGAAGTAAGTCAATGGCAGTGTGAAAAAGATCATCTGCAGTTTGGTTCTGTGCTTTGTTCTGGAAACAGGGGCAAGCCAGCAATTCTCTAATATAATGTTTTGTTCAGAGTTTAGCATGTGTATGTAATAAAGTGAAAAGGAAAAAGGTCAAGAAAAAGCAGACTGGGACATCTTGACTTTGCAAAGCAGAATCATTCTTCAGCTAAGAACTAAATTAGAGAAATTACAAATTTACATCTTACCAAAAAGCTCTTGAATGCATAACAGTACACATACAGAGAGAAACAAGAGAGTACTACTCCCTGTTGGGCTGATAAGAAGTGTCATTATGCCCCTCTTTAGTGTTGCTGTTCAGTAATACGCATCATGTGGAGGATAATAATGACGAATTTTAGCAAAATGAACTCTGAATTTAGTTTTCTACAGAAATAACCCAGTTTTCTAGAACACTGGTTGGGAGAGTTCATAAGCATTCATGTGAATTGTAGTGATCAGACCAAATTTGAAAATGTGCTCAATAGGGCAAAAATATCCAAATGCCAAGTTGTAAGCTTGATCACTTGAATGCAAACAAATCCAGATTCACCAGGTTCAGGCATTTGAAATCATAAGTCATTCTGTTCTGAAAGTCAGGAGATTCAACATTAATAAATGTAGGATTACTTTTATCACTCAGTTGTGTTGGATATTTTAGAATTCAAATGTTCAACCCCATCTGCCAATCGAGATTTAGAATATGAGTATATTAGTATATATTTTAGAGACAGAAGAAATTTTAATAATGGCAAAGCAGCTTGGATTTGAAGAAAAATACCAAGTATCTTGAGAGTTCACAGTACAGCTATACTTTAATATCTCTAGATAGCCACAGATAATTGTCTTCGATCACTATATTTGGACCCTACTAATGCTTGAAAATGGCATCCAAAAAAAGTCTTTTAATAAGTGGTCATACAAATGGCTCTGATTCACTGAGTAAGAAAAACATGAAAGAAAATTGAGGATCTACTGGGAAAAAGAAAATTATATATGACTATTTTAGGCAGAAATTTGCATTTTAGAGATTGAAAATGAAGGCATGGCAGAAGATATTTTGCTGTGGATTTCAGATAAAACATTGCATTCTCAGTTGCTTTTACACTTTACTTGCTTCATGAAGTGTGTCTTGTCTTCTTCTGTAGAAAAAGTACATACCAGTTTGGACACTGGCATAGCCTAAACCATATATGTGCATGTGCACACATTCTCACATGCTCAGCAATTCATTAGAAGAACATCAGTGAAGTTACTAAGTCAATCAATTAGAATCATTAGAAGAACAATCATTAGAAGAACATCAATGAAGTTACTAGAAAACACTCAATTATGTTTCCCTATGCAGCACCAATTTAGCCTCCCTTGTACTTGCAGCACAACACAGAGTTAATTAAATGCTTACAATCTGTGATTTATTCTTTTTCTCCTACAGAACTGTAGTCTCATTCAGTGCATTAGCTAGAATTAGGGCTGGCCAAAGTGAGTTCTGGATGTGATCTTCGTCTCTTGTGTGCTGCTGTATCTTGTGTGTGCTCTGTCCCAGTGTTTCCTATGTTCAGGTGTCCCATAACTTCTTTCCCAGACCTACACAGGCTCCCTCCCACATCCCACTTGCCTCTTTGTGCTGTTTTCCAGCACTGGCCTCTCTTCTCTTTGGGGGCTCCCATTACCTCTGCTACCTGCAAGACTCCAAGCATATGAAATGCTGTACATGTATATTTCTGTGCGGGTGCAGTCCTCTTCTGATGCTGGTAAACATCTTTACTGCTGTCTCCAGTCCCTGATCTTTGCTTTGTTGAGTCTTCATCATGTTCCCCTGCTCCAAGATGCAAACTTTTCCTATTAGTTTCCTAACCTAGTTTGCCTCCTCCACTTCCCACACATGGATGCTGAGAGTCCAGCACTTCCTCTCTACTCCAATAACTTCCCCGTTTAACACGGCTGGGCCCTAACAACAGAGGAATTGAGATGAGAGCAGAATTGAAAAATGAATAAATATGACGTCATCAACTAGGTGCTCTTGGATACATACAGCATTTGCCAGCTCACCCTAACAAGGCCGCATGAACAGCGGGAAATGCGTTACAAATAACAAGTCAGTACCACCTGCCAAATTTCAAGTCTATTCTCCAAAATATAGATATTTTGGGACTTTGCTATAGAACAGGTGGAATGGTCTTTAAGCAGTAAAATACATCCATTTTCCTCCAATACTGTTTCCATGCATGGAGCAGCCACTTTGGCCACTGGAATTAAAATAAAACATTGAAGCAAACCCAAAACATAACAAAATATTTGTAATACTTTATATCCAAAATAATAAAATAGAAATGTAGCAATAATAAATAAATTATAGTCTGAGCACACAGCAAGGAGATTTTAGCTCAGAGAAAGCTTGGCAAAATCATAAGTAACTGAAAAGAAGATTTTTTGTAGAAACCTTAAATAGAGAAAGTTTAACTAACAAACATTATAACCTTAATAATATTTATCCAGGCTTGAAAAAGAACTGTAGGAGTTGAAATTTAAAAGCAAGATGAGTGTGTCTTGTGCCATCTAATAAAATTATATCATTGACAGCCGAGTTGTAACCTAAACCAAATATCAATCAAGACAGAAAATTAATAAAATAAATAAAAGTGACTACTCAGGGTTATAATTTCTTAAAAACATGCATTCATGAAATACTATACCAGGAAAATTCAGTGGTAATTCCACTCTGGCTGAAAACTGGCTGACTTTGTTATTCTCACAGATACTTGCTATAAGCTTCTTAATTTTGAAGCCAATAACTTTAATGACTTCTCCTGTTGACAGGCAGCATTCATGTCCAAACATTTCATAGATGGAACCTGAAAAGAAACACAAAAGGAAAGAAAAGCATTATCACAGTATCACAGTATGTTAGAGATTGGAAGGGACCTCAAAAGATCATCTAGTCCAATCCCCCTGCCGGAGCAGGAACACCTAGATAAGGTTACACAGGAACGTGTCCAGGCGGGTTTTGAATGTCTCCAGAGAAGGAGACTCCACAACCTCCCTGGGCAGCCTGTTCCAGTGTTCTGTCACCCTCACTGAGAAGAAGTTTCTTCTCAAGTTTAAGTGGAACCTCTTGTGTTCCAGTTTGTACCCATTGCCCCTTGTCCTATCATTGTTTGCCACTGAGAAGAACCTGGCTCCATCCTTGTGACACTCCTCCTTTATATATTTATATGCACTAATAAGGTCACCCCTCAATCTCCTCTTCTCCAAACTATAGAGACCCAGCTCCCTCAGTCTTTCCTCATAAGGGAGATGCTCCACTCCCTTAATCATCGTAGTTGCCCTGCGCTGGACTCTCTCCAGCAGGTCCCTGTCCTTCTTAAACTGAGGGGCCCAGAACTGGACACAATATTCCAGATGCGGTCTCACCAGGGCTGAGTAGAGGGGAAGGAGGACCTCTCTCAACCACCCCCCTTCTAATACACCCCAGGATGCCATTGGCCTTCTTGGCCACAAGGGCACAGTGTCGGCTCATGGTCACCCTGTCGCCCACTAGGACCCCCAGGTTCCTTTCCCCTACACTGCTCTCTTAACAGGTCGTTCCCCAACCTATACTGGAACCTGGGGTTGTTCCTGCCCAGATGCAGGACTCTACACTTTCCCTTGTTATATTTCATCAAGTTATTCCCCGCCCAACTCTCCAGCCTGTCCAGGTCTCGCTGGATGGCAGCACAGCCTTCTGGCGTGTCGGCCACTCCTCCCAGCTTAGTGTCATCAGTAAACTTGCTGATAGTACACTCAATTCCCTCATCTAAATCATTGATGAATATATTAAATAATACTGGTCCCAGTACCGACCCGTGAGGCACTCCACTAGATACAGGCCTCCAACTAGACTCCGCCCCATAGAGTACAACTCTCTGGCTTCTCTCCTTCAGCCAGTTCACAGTCCACCTCACTACCCGATCATCCAGACCACACTCCCTCAATTTAGCTGCGAGGATGCTGTGGGTGACTGTGTCAAACACTTTGCTGAAGTCAAGGTAGACCACATCCACCGCTCTGCCATAATTATTCAGCTTTTCCTCACTTTTTCAAGTGACTTTACCTCTTTGAATTAAAGAAAAAATGCTTAAAATGAGTTATATGAAACAACACCTATATATAATAACTTATATATAACTAACCTAATGTTTTATTTTCTTCCTTCGTGTCTTGAGAAAATTTTGTGACTTCAGTGATCTCTAGGTCAGATCTGTGTGCCCACTGATCTTAGGTGCATATGAGGAGAACAAGGTCTGAAGAACCTTCATTTCCAAGTTACTAGACAAAATGGAATGAAGTAGAGCATAGGATTACTTGGGTCATCAGGAGCTGCCTCCTGAAATCACCAGGCAGTGGAGCTTGCACAGGAAAGGTGCCTCTGCATGGCATAGGGCATAGCATATCCCATAGGAAACAGACTACAGCAGAAGACAAAAAATCATAAAAGCTAAAGGTCCTCAGGAAGAGCCCAGGAGACAGCAAAGTGCAACTAGCATTTGAGCTTTCTGTAGGAACAGAAAACCTAAAGAAAGTATAAGAAATTGGAAAACTGGCCAATGGACAGTGGTAATCCCTACCTCATGCTGAAAAAATGCCTACTGATTCTGACCTGGCAGCAAAAAAAAATTCCTTTTTTGTCTGTGATACTCAGAAGCTTGAGATCAGGAACAAGGCAATTCAACCAAGAATTTCAGAGCCTCCTCACAAAACCTGGAATTGCAGTTTTCCCTGCCAAAAGCAACCCTCCCCTTCTCCAGTGTAGCTGTGGTCAACCTCTGCTGTTACAGAAGTGTGTTGAGAATAAAGCAAAACCAAAACAAAAGACAAGTTATGCAGAAGAAGGAAAATTATTCCTGGTCATTGCAGGACATTAGAAGGAGCTTTGAAGCATGGGACTAATTAATTTTATAGAAAGACAGTACAGCAAACACATGGTGTTCCATTTGTAGATAGGACTGCATTGAACACAGAACATCAGAAATGCTGATTTTAATGCTAGCTTCTGTTCTTCTGATGCTGTGCAGTTCTTTCTAAGAACTTACCAAGCTCTGTATTTAAGTGATGTGGAAGTAGCCTTTCTGGAACCCCATCTCAGAATTTCATTTCCCTGTGGTAAGAAACCGTATTTTCACCTCCAATGCGTTCATAAGTGTATTCATTTGCTCTGCCATTAACATTGTTTTGGTATTTAAAATACTTTTTTTCTCATTTCCATTTCTCCAGAGGTTTTCAAGGTTATTTTTGCCCTGCTCTGGTCACATTTTTGACAAAAAATCTAGAAGAAACAAATTCTCTTTATCTCCTCCAAGAAGATTTCCCTTTTCACAATCCCCCAATAGCCTCTTGCCTGCATCTTGTTCAATTTAAGTTTCTGGGTTTGGCTTCCCTCCCCCCCCCCTCCCCCTTTTAACCTAGTTAACCAGAATGGTCTCAGGCAATGAGAGATATTTAACACCTGACGTCTGGCTATATAGTAGCAATCAATAATTGAGATGGCCTGGACTGACATATTGCCATTGCCTGCAGAATTCACTTCCCACAGAAAGCACCATTCCTTACTCCACAGCTCTCCTTGTAGTTGCTGGGGAGAAAAAAGAAAGCTTTTTTTTTTCTTTTTCTATTTTCCCCCAGGTGTCATATCAGAAATGCAACTATTAGCTGAGTGATTTTCCTAATGATCATTCAAGATCAGTTCCAGTCACAACCACAGCCTGGGCTAATCATTATCTCTTACTGAGTCTGAGATATATTTATCAACTCTGCTGCAGCACTTGCAGGTGACAAGCATTTGGCTATCACCTTGACCTCATGGGAGGTCACTGTAAGTGCAACCTGAGCACAGGTTGCTCTGGTTCTAGCCTAGACCCAAAGCCTCAAAACAAGAAGTTTGTATCAGGACAGAAGGATGAACAGGAGTAACACTGAGCAGCTGGTTAAAGGTGCTCTGCTGTGAAGGCATGGCCAGGCAAACCTGTCCGTTGCTTGCACAATGTTTTCACAGTTGAGATGGACGCTTGGAAATCCCTAGCTACTACCCTGAAGAAGACACATACCAATGTAGGTATTTAACCCTGTGTAGAAGGAATATCAGCAAAACAAAAAAAAAACCCAAACAAAAAAAAACGTTAAAATATTGTGCTATAGTTGCTTTCAGCAGGCTGCATATGACAACACTGCCTCGTTTCTCTTGCTGAGAACCCTACATAGGATCATGAAGACTGCTGAATTTAGGCTCTAAACTCCCCCAGCAGGCTACTGACTTGATGATTAGCACAAAGGGATTCTGGATTATAGTGCCAGACAAATTCAACTACAGCCAGGTGAAGAACCATGCTGTTAATGCATACTTTCAGCCAATCTGGTACCAAGCAGAAGACCAAGAGAGCTGCTGACCTTTAACTGAAAAAGAACAATCAGGTTTTCTTATTGTAAAGGTAGTGCATAGTTGTTTGCTCTCCCTTGAGTCTCTGTGTAATTCAGCATTAAGTCAGATGGCTCCACTGGATATTGCTACAGCTCCCCTCAGTAGGCTGGCTGTTGCTCTAATAAACACATGAGGAATTATCATAGCTCTCACTCCTTTAGCTGAACTCCACAGGATATTTTATGACAGTCAGAAAAGTGTATGCGCAATACTTATTTCATATTAGAGGAGAGAGAGAGAAAGATTGAGCAGCTGTGAAGAGGGTAATATTCTTTTTGTGCTGAACCACCTCACTCCTCACATCAGACAGTAGCAATCACAAGCAGCCATGATATTATTAGATATAGGGAATCCTAGGGGATACAGTATGATGAGCTCTGCATTACAGAAACATGGAAAGATGAGCAAACAATTCCAATATTCTCACCTCTGAATAAATATTTGTGAAAACCTACTCAAAATGGGAGCTCATGGCTTCTAGAGTTGTTGGGTTTTTTCTTCAGTGCATATTTAGATCCAACTTCTCCAGAATAACTCACTTGAAAACAGACCCTTAGAAATCATTTAACATATAAAAGTAACTGCACTGACTAATTATGGCCTCCAGGAACATTTGCCTTCACCTCTGCTAGATATCCTTTGCAGGCATTCCCCAGGATGCAGCAGGGCTCTGCTGCGCATCCACATGCAGACTCCATAGGAGCATGGGCACTGTGCTACCCAGGTTCCATAGCCTTGCTGGCCATGGCTGATTTCCAAATACCATGGTAGCTGGAGTAGACCAACCCAAGTAATGGCCCTGAGGGGAAGAATGGAGCGGTTATGAGGCTGAATGTCTCAAAAAATGATCGTGTGATTAAAGAATATTAAAGTACTACTTCAGTCTATATCTGCAGCAGAGTGGTGCCACCAAGAAATAAAGAGGGGAGTCAGAGGAGGGCCCTTTTTCTGATTAAGGCTGGTTCTGAAAGACTTACTACTTTTATCACATTTACTTTTCCTCAGGCACAATAGCTTAATTACCAATTGTACAGCAGAGGTTTGAGGAGTCCTGCCCTCCATCGCAAAATAAAAGTATAAACAGAGCTTGCAAAAAAGTCAAACTCATCAGTCAGTGATGGTCACAGTCTGAACATCTAATCTGGCAATACTATGAGAAGAGACTAGCTCTGCCAAACACTAAAAAATAGATGATTGCATGACACAAAAATTAGTCTTTGACAAAGCAATCAAAATATGCAAACCATGAGAAATGCATATAACAACCTATGCAGTGTAAACAGTGGCCTAGCACTGTAGAGATGGCAGAGAATCTAAAATGCTACAAGAAAAGGCTAAAATACACAAGAAAATGGAATTTCCACTCAGAAAAGAGAGAAAGTACCTGAGGCAGACAAGCAT